TGGTGGAGCTTCTGGTGTCTTTGCAGTTCTTGCATCATCACTCCCAATATCAAATATCTATTTGATATTTGACATTTCATCAAATATCTATTTGATATTGAGTCTGTATGTCACTATAATGAAATTGATTAGCTTAAGGCATATATTTCATATCATATATTTGATACTTATCTAAATGTAATAAGGCTCATTAGTAACTCTTTATGGAAATTATAATATTTCCTGATTTACTAACAAATCCTCCTGCAGAGAAATATGCACCTTGTATGAGGGATTCTCTTCCTTCTCAATTTGCTCTACGAGGTATCATGGCCACCTTTTAAAAATGCCTAATAGCCAGAAGTTCTCATAGATATTCACGGAGCAGAGTGCAGAATGAATTCATATAACTGAAATAATTTCAAAGATTGGTACATAGTATTTGTGACCTCTCTCTCGTGTTTGTGACCCTGGAGACATTGGGAAATCTGTGTGTATACAGTGTGTTGCCAAGGGAACCTGACTTTGGCCCAGAATATTCCTCCAGGAATATGTGCAAAACCTTTACTCTCCTCCAGAGAGACATTTCAGGGATCTTGTCCTCCCACCTTACAGAGAGTTAGATAAATATAACTAACTATGTCTTATTATCCTTCTGGGAATTACAGTTCCTAACTGATTCTAAATAAAATTTTTGCCTCTAGGAGTGTAATTTAGAGCTTCATAATCTGTTGCAGAACCATTAGGAGTTGTAACAAACTCTCCTCAGTCTGAGATGTATCCTCTGAATCCTGCAACAGTATTTTAGAGTATGTCCCTCACCTCTGAAGGGTCTTGTCTTGGTCAAAATAGATTCCTGAGGAATAGCCAGTGATGCTTATGTAAAAAGATTTGCTGGTGGGGAGGTGACTTTCAGCACAGGTAGCTGAGGTAACACAGGGCTGCAGCAGAAACCAGCATGGCTTTGTGGAGAGGAATGGCATTCCTGGGTGAAATATCATGAGTCTCCCCTGAATCCAATGTGTTTGTAGATAAATGGGGTGGACACCCAGATCCTATCCCCAGAACCCTCTAGTTGTAGAGATGTGGTGGAGCTTCTGGTGTCTTTGCAGTACTTGCATCATCACTCCCCAGTGTGGCTGAGTGGAGGTTGTGCAGACACCGAACTCCGTAGGGTTTGAAGAAGAATCTGGAAGAATGAGTGGCTTCAGGTGCAGGCATTTCTTCTGGATAAGCCTTCAGTATGGTCAAAAGAAAAGGGCTTGATCTTACCTAAAAGAGAGGGTAGAGTAAACTCTGTTACTGGAAAAGAAAATTCTGGTACCCGTTACAATAGTCTTTTCCCTGCTGAAACACTGCAGAGGTAAGTTTATCACATAATTGTTTCTTATTTAAACTTTTCAAGGTATCATCCAGTCTTGATAATCATTAGACTAAGAAGCTGGGTTTGTAAAATATCTGTTCTATTGAAAAATAAGGTAGAATGGACACCAGTTCTGCTGACTGCAGCTGCAGACATCACCTCTAGCAGCCTCGTTCAGTTACCAGACTGCAGGAGAGGACCCAGCACTCACCACTCAAATCTTTTCCTTCTGAGTTATTATTTTATTGTCTCTACTAGAAAACGGATTTTTATTGAGACTGTCAACAAAATGTTCTCTTCTATTTCCATGCTGCATTACTTAATAGATTTAATCTACCTTCACTATTATTTAAAAATAAATATTTCAATGAAATGAAAGGATGGTAATGGAAATGAAAATTACAGTTTGTTATTTAGACGCTAAACCAACTAACCTAAGAAATTCACATGTGGCTATACCCATACCACACACTATGATATACATTCTATAGTTGTAGAAAAATTTAATAACTTTCCCCTGCAGTGTGCATTTACATGAACCCTTCCAAATGCATTTGTGTGTATAGAAATAGAAATCTAGGACTGTCTCTCAAATGTGTTCATTCCAAAATTCCTAAAGGGATATCCCCGCTTAAGTGGAGTCTCACTTAGGTTGATATTTTGCAAACATTCAGAATGCTGAACATGTGCTTCAAGATTCATTCTCAGGGTACTTTCTTTCCAATATACTGTATTTTCAATAAAGTAATTCCCTGCAATTTTCTATAACTATCATTTCAAAGTAGGTATGAGACATCAATTCCATTAATTCATGTGTTACTATTTCCACTACAGATATGTGACCATATCTTCATGTTTATTCAAGTGTACCCTATAGAAACCTTGTCCTTAAATTACATAGATTATTCATAAATGCTAATAAGAAATCAACCATAAATGTCCAAGTCCAATTGTGAATTTCTCTAGTGAAGTAGAATTCTTTTCCTCATCGATAGATAGAAGGTGATGATGGATGTTCATTGAGAGAGACTGTCGAGCAGCCTGAGCTCAGAAACTGAAATAATTTATAATTTGGTTCATGTGACTTGGGGTATCTCTTTCAAGTTTATAATCCTTGAGATATTTGAAGATCTGTGTGGACAGAGTGTCGTAATACCCGCATGTGACCTGACGTGTGGGCATGTGAAATCGTATGTTCCTGCTTAACATTTCACAAGCGGGGTTGGGAGCCTGCCTCATCTAGACTCACATTCTCAGCTGCATAGACAGGGCTGTGACAGCATCTGCCCACAAGACTTCTGTGTCTGCTGAAAGGAGTCATGTCAGCTCACACAAATGACAATTGGCTTCGCCCTCATCTCTGATTTTATCTTGGGATTACACAGATTTCATAGTAAGAATGTAAACTTTTCTGTTATTGTAGTTTATGATATGCATTTAATTGGAACTCAAAGCCCTCCCTCCTATTTATCTCTTCTAATTCCCTGCAGTAGAAAATCGTGTTGTTGGTAGGAAATTTGTGGAGGTGATGGTGATATTTATGACACAGATTATGGTGATGTTGTGCAGATGTGTACTTAACTCCACAGTCAATAAATATGTGGAGTTTTTTAGATGTCAACCAACCTATATAAATTGTGTATTTTACAAGAAAAAGGCATTATACATAAGTTGTTTGTATCTAATCTTTGAATGGCATCTAGACAGGAACAAGCAGACTCTCACCTTCCTTTCCACAGTTGTGGGCACACAGAACAGACCCCAGGAAGGAACCCTCAGCCTCCCAGCTCTCTACACGCCCCTACCCCGACCCTTCAGGCTCACAAAGTGAGATAGTGACTGCACAGCGGGAGCACACTTGTATTTTGAAGGACCTTCATGCATTTCCCAGTTTGGTCAATGCCTGTTCAGAATTCATGCTCACCTACTCCTGAGAGTCTCCACAGAGACCTGCAGCAGGGAGTCTCCTGCCACTGCCGAGGGATGTGATCCAAGTGCCCAGTGGATGCCCAAAATCATGGCAGTGCTGACCCAAAGTGTGCAGTGTTTCCTGCACACACACCTGTCATGAAGTTTTACTTATTAGGGAAAATAAGAGATTAACAATAATAACTAACAACATAAAGAACAATTGTAGGAATATGCTCTAAAAACTGTTGTCAATATTCTCTCTCTCTCTCTCCCTCCGTCTCTCCCCCATCCTCTTCCTTTCAACACAAAATATCTGATAGAAAATCATATTTTGTGACCAGAGTTGACTGTATCTAAAATGATGGACAGTGAATCTCCACATAAGTGGTGACTACTGCCAGTAATTTCCAGAGTATTTTTTTTTACTGTTAATTTCAATCTTAGGCATAAAAGATAAGAAGAATGAATTAAAACAATTTCTATCATAGATCTTAAGAGATTTATGTCATATTATCTGGAAACGTATTGGTCATGTAGAAAGTAACTTTTGCTCATGAGAGAAAAATCTCATATCAAATTGTAACATTTTATATTTATTATTGTGTTGATGTGTATTTTAAATTTTTCTTGGCTTGTAATGATGGTATGGATGTGTATATACATTTCTTAAAATTAACTACTACATACTATTGAGCTCATTTTCATAGATACTAATGTTATTTTATTAAAAGAGATTTGGCTTCACAAAGGATATCAGTAAAAATGTAGTAGGATAAAACCACTAAGTTTAAGAATTACCATCCCCTTAACATCTTATGTACTTCCTGCAATTATCTCCAAATTAAAGGAGAATATTAGAAATTTGACAATTGTGGGGAAAATTTTATTAAACATTTAATAAGATCAGTTATTGCTTTAAAAATATGTTACTAAAAAGAACCAGGTCCTTTATGGAAATGACTGATTCCAACCTTAACTGGGTAATGTAGAAGGCAAGTGTAAGGTCCAATAGTGACCTAAAACAGAAGTAATAAAGGACCTAAAAATTAGGTATTCATAATTTTATAACACGCATGACTTGGAGATACCACTTAGCTCAGTGATCACCGTTAGTATCCCCAATATTGGAAGAAAAAAACCCACATTATCTGCCTATCAGCATAGGAACATTTTTTTTAACCCAACCAAGACTTTATAACCTGATCTAACAAATGGATATTTTAGAAAAATGATAACGGTGGGCAGTACACAAAACAATGATGTATTGATTTGTAACATCAATATTAAGGTAAAGAATGGTTTAGCAAGTGATTCATTGTAAGCGAAGCAAAGACATATTATTGGATGGCACCGTCAGCTAGAGAAGCAGAAAATGTTGTATTTAAGTAAAGAATCATGTGAGTATTAGAGTTTCTGATTTGATAATATTTCTAAGAGTAGTGAGCATCCTTGTACTTGAAAGATATAAAATTTGAGGGGTGAACTGACATAACGTCTGTACTTCATTCTTTGTTGTTTCAAGAAAGTATATGTACAAAGAAATAAAAATGTTGTAACAAAGATGAATAAAGAAGGTGGTAAAATACCTATATAGTATTCTCTATAATTCTGATATTTATCTGAAAGTTTAATTACCTCATCATAAAAATTAAAAGCAATCAAAGAAACACTATCAAAGTTGCAGTCAGGTAGGGATAAACACGTATGCTTCCTCTGAGCTAATTTAAAGACAAATAACCAGTTTTCATTGCCCTCCAGATCTGGCCTTTCTATCACATTTCACTTCTGGAGCTACTGCTGTTAAGGATGGGGGACAACCAGTCAGGGGTCCCAGAACTCATCCTGGTGGGATTCCAGCTCAGTGCAGACATGGAAGTGCTTCTCTTCTGTGTCTTCTCCCTACTGTATGCCTCCAACCTGCTGGCAAATGGCATGATCTTGGGGCTCATCTGGCTGGACGTCAGACTCCACACTCCCATGTACTTCTTCCTTTCTCATCTGGCTGTCATTGACATGTCCTATTCTTCTGGCAGTTTGCCCAAATTTCTGGAAAACCTGGTGAAACACAAAAAAACGATCTCCTTTGCCACATGCGCTATGCAGATGTATTTGTATTTGGCTTTTGCTTCCACAGAGTGCCTGATTTTGGTGGTGATGTCCTATGACAGGTACGTGGCCATCTGCCATCCTCTCCACTACACGGTCATCATGAACTGGAAACTGTGCTCGGTGCTGGCCATCACTTGTTGGCCATGTGGCTTTTCTGTGGCCTTACTACATCTAATTCTCTTTCTAAGATTTCCCTACTGTGGGTCCCAGGAGGTGAACCACTTCTTTTGTGAACTCCTAGCTCTCCTCAAAGTGGCCTGTGGGGACACTTGGATTAACAAAGTTTTGATCCTTTCTTCTGGTGCATTTATCTTAGTGGGGCCCCTTTCCTTGATGCTGTTCTCCTACATGCGCATCGTCTTGGCCATCCTGAAGATCAAGTCAAAGGAGGGCCGCAGAAAGGCCTTCTCCACCTGCTCGTCCCACCTCTGTGTGGTTGGGTTGTACTTTGGCATTGCCATGACAATGTACTTGGTCCCAGACAATGGCCACCAAGATGAGCAGAAGAAAGTCCTTTCCCTGTTTTACACCCTCTTCAACCCATTGCTGAACCCCCTCATCTACAGTCTGAGGAATGCTCAAGTGAAAGCTGCCTTCAATAGAGCGGTGCAGAAGCAGAGACACTATGAATAAATGAGGGTGGAATTTTCCCTCCCTGAATTTTTCTCAAGCATGTGTTTGCTACAGCAATTACACTCCCATAAATTCAGCCCATAAAAGTCATTATAAAGAATGGGAATTATCCAAGAATATCATCAGCAAAATGGCAAAATAAGAATCCCGAGCTCTCATTCCTTCTTGGAGCTGAACTATTTATATAATAAATTGCCCTTGTGAGAATACCATAAAGTGGCTCAGAATTGCAGCACCCAGACCAAGAGTAAGGCACAAAGAGACACAGTCATTGGATAGACAAACTCATGGCATTTTACCTGTGCTCTTTACATACCTTACCTGGCCCTACTGCACAATCAGAGGAAAATCCTCTTAGCTCTCCCTCAAGTGGCAAAAGGAAGAGTGAATGACTTGTGTGTGTTCCGGCTCTTGGGGTGATGTCTGTCCTCTGGATGTTTTCTGTCTTCCCTCTCTCATAATGCTGATGTGAAAAGCAGTGTCACCAAGTCACTAAATTCAAAGACACGTGAGCATGCCAGCTTTATGAAAGTATAGAGAGACTTTAGTATCTCACAAAAGCAACAGGCAGAGTGGGGTGAAGGCTTCAAAGTAATGGCATTCAAACCTAATTAGCTGAGAAAATGAGATGCTCCATTCTCAGAAGGCAGTGTTAAGAAATCCCAGAACTGACAAAATGGTTGCTGAATTCTCTCCCTTTTTCAAATCAGTAGGTATAGACTGGAGAAGTAGCTGTTTTCCTAACAACCAAAATCTCAACTCAAGATCATAAGACACACAAAGAAATATGAAAGATGGACCAAATCAAAGGAACAAAGTAAATGCCCAGAAACAGGCTTAAAGAGCAGAGTGATGAATTACCTGGCAAAGAATATGAAATAATCATCTCAATGAATTCAATATGAGATGACTGAGAACTGAAAAAAAATTAAGGAAAATGATTCATGGACAAAAGGAAAATATCATAAGAATGCTTTCAAAAACTTTTAAAAATAACCTGACAAAGTCTGGAGCTGAGAAATAGAACAACTGAATTAAAATATTCACCATAGGGGCACAAAGGGAAACTAGAAACTATGTGTAGCCAAAGAAATGGGGTGTAAGAAAATCAGTACTGAGGGAAATTTACAGCAGCAACTCTTACCAACAAAAGAAGAAAGATGCAAATCAACAACCTCACTTTACACTTAATGTCCTAGGAAAAGCAGAAAAACCAAACCCCAATTCAGAGAAGGAAAGAAAGAATAAATGTTAAGAGTAGAGAGAAAACAAATAGAAATGCATTATGAAAATAGGTAACTGTTGATTTTCTGAAAAATTGAACAATATTGGCAAACACAAGGCTAGACTAAGAAAAAAAAATGATCCCTGTGATGATCACATTCCCAGCCGTGAAGAGTAATTTGGTTGCTAGAAATTGGCTGGTTGAGGGAGGGATGGTGAGTTATCGTTTAAAGGGTACAGAGCCTCTGGGATGAAAGCGTTCTGAGACGGATAGTGGTGATGGTTGTACATATTGGAATGATGCAATGCCACCATACTTTAAAAACTTAAAATATGGTTATGTGGACCTCCCTGGTGGCCTATGGGTTAAGTCTCACTATTATCACTATGGCCTGAGTTTGATCCCTGGCCAGGGAGCTAAACAACATGGCGCAGCTGACCACTTCTGTCTCGCCTGCTGCTCCCCTTGGCAGTGTATCTCAGTAGATCTACCTGCTCTGCTCCCCACTCTGTCTATTGTGAATCCCCTCACACCCCCACACATACACACTTCTGGACCACACCCCAGCACTTCTATGCAAAAAAAAAATTACAAAAAATAAAAAAAATAAAATTTTGTTATATGTGTTTGCACAAAAATATATTTAGGAAATGCTTTAGCTGGTGACTACAAAAATTCTGTTTTCTTATTCTGATGAAAAGCATAATGAAAAGTCACTCAAGCTGGAGCACAAGAACAGAATTTTCATAGTGTAAATATTGTTATGCATTGTGCTTCTACTGCACTAATTGTGAGGATACTGAAACACTTGATTAAGAAACTCTAAAATTCTCTTTGAAATAATTGCAAATGACAATAAGGAGTGGACTTATTCAATCTACCTGTGACCATAAAAACAATTCTCAGACATATTTCAAGTTATGATAGGAAATAGAAAATGAACCTCATTGGAAAATGTCGAAGGGTCCCAGAACCTAAGATTTGGGGCATCGATCAGACTTGACACTTATTCCTGGGTTACGTCATTGCCTATGTGATGAACTTGGTCATATTCTAACCAATATGTAAAGACTGTTGGTAAATATTCCTCCAGTATTTTTAGTGTTTGAGTCAATCTATGTTAAAAAGATTGTGGAGACTACAGAGCTGTGAGACAACTTTGAAGGAGCCAACATCACTCTCTCTCATGGAGGACAAAGCCCTCTGGACTTGTGACACGACAGTGACCTTCTCATCACGCTTCTGGTGGTAAAATCAGTAATGCTGGCTTCTCTACACCTGCTGGTGAAAGCATTTCCTTTAGTTTGAAAGGATTCTCTTTCTTATGGACTTCCATCTGAGTAACACATTTAACTTGATGTAAATTGTGTGAAATAAGTCATTAATGTTCTATTTTAATAAATGGATTATGATTTTAGTGCATTGGGATGTACAGAAGAGAGCTTTCCCTCTGCGTCCTCAACTTGGCTAATGGCTTCGCACAGAACATGCTGCTTTGGGCCATCTTGGCGGTGGACACGCCTCCCTCATTGAACTGAATCATTCCAGAATTTGGTTTAGAAGGAGAGGTGCGAAGCTCTTCCTCTCACGTGCTGGCCCAATTTCAATTCTGTTGTGTCTCCGGAGACAGGGAAGCCCAGGAGAGGGAGAGAGAGTTGGTGGGTCAGGGGAGCATTTGTCAAGTATATTTATTCAGTTAGGTCTAGTTGTTGAGGGTCTGGGATGCCCCCCAATTTTTCTATACAAATTTTTCTATACAAAATTTCTATACAAATTTGGACCTCAGAACCAAAAAAGTGACTCTACCAAATCATACCAAATAGAAATTTTCTGTTTAGACATCAGGAAAGCTTGCAGTCAAATTGATGGAGCAGAGTCGATGTCTGGATGACAGCAGAGAGGGGTGGGGAGCTGGGCATTTGGTGGTCAAAGGGCCCAAAATTTCACTTATTAGATGACTAAGTTTTGGAGAACTAATATACAGCATGGTGTATACAGCACGGTGTATTAACATTTAGAATATATGATTATTAATATCATCAGCATCAAGCATCACCTCAACAAAAATACTTTTAAAAAGTGATGTATTATACACTTAAAATTTGTGAGAGTAGATTGTAAGCATTACTAGGCACACACACAAACAATGTTTAAGTGAAATGATTGATAAGTTAGTCCCCCTGACCGGTACTTCACAATGAAATCATTATGTTTTACATATAAGTATAATATATATATATATATATATATCAATAATACCTAAATAAAACTGGAGAAAGGAAATTAGAATAGAACTTTAAAAAATTATTACTTCATTCAAAAATAAAAGTCCCATTATCTGATAACACATGTAAAAGATATTTTAAATAACTGCCCTAAAGCAAAAAGTGAAATAGTAGCACTGCATTCTAGTTTAGCAAAATGCTTGAATGTCTGTCTTTGAAAATAAGTAGAATTTTTTTATTTGCTTCTGCATACAACTGTTAAAATATAAAGTATGTATATTGTAACTTTTGAAAAACTGCACCAACTCCTAGTGAGAAAATAGGGGTGAAAAACTTACAATATTTTAGTTGTTGATAAATCTAATTTTGAACAGATTAGATAACAGAAATTTTCAAAAATTCTCATAGTCTCCTTTATCAAGAAAGAAATTTCTACTTAGTTTATTTAAATCTCATATCACTAAGTCAACAGTGATTTCATTAAGGCATATGCAGTATTTGAATGTTGTCTAGACATAATGAGAAGTCAGTGGTAGCTGATATGTACACTATAACCTTTCCTCATGTGCATCTATCAGACCCTACTTCAGAGAATATGCACCTATTTTGGGGAGTCTCTTCCTTATTAGGTTTGCTCAAACAGGCTTCATGCGAACCTTCTCTAAACCTCTAACAGCCACATCTTCTCATAGAAATTTGAGGCGACTGAAGTATAGAATAAACTTAACACTGAAATAATCTCAAAGGTTTGTTACCTCTAGTTTGTGACTTCTCTCTCATATTTATGATGCTTACCCTTGAGACATTTGAAAATCTGTGTGGATACAGAGTAATGCCAACTTGTGACCTGCCTCTGGCCCAGAATATTCCTCCAGGAATATGGGCAAAAGCTTTCCTCTCCTCCAGAGAGAAGTTTCAGGGATATTGTCCTGCCACCTTACAGAGAGTTAGAAAAATATAGCTAAGTGTGTCTTATTATCCTTTTGGGAATTGCAGTTCTTAACCCTTACTCCTAGAAATGTACTTTAGAACTTCATAATTGTTGCAAAAATATCATCAATTGTAGCAAATGCGCCTCAGTCTAGATTTCTCTTCTGACGCCTGCCACGGTATCTTAGAGTATGTCCCTCACCTCTGAAGACTCTTATCTCCTTCAAAATAGTTTCTTGAGGAACAGCCAATGCTGTTTATATAACGAGATTTGCTGGTGCGGAGGTGAATTTCAGCACAGGTAGCTGAGGTAACACAGGGCTGCAGCAGAAACCAGCATGGCTTTGTGGAGAGGAATGGCATTCCTGGGTGAAATATCATGAGTCCCCCCTGAATCAAGTGTGATTGAAGATAAATGGGGTGGACACCCAGTTCCTATCCATGCTCCAGCTCTAGAACACTCTAGCTGTTGAGATGTGGTGGAGCTTCTGCTGTCTTTGCCATTCTTGTCATCACTCCCCAGTGTGGCTGAGTGGAGGTGGTGCAGACACCCAACTGCGTTGGGTTTGAGAAGGACTCTGGCATTTTTTCTAAATAAGCTTCCGATATGGTCAAAAGAA